ATATGTAATTTGTTGAGAGTTGTCTGAGTATGTAACTCAGATAATGAATTGTGACGAGTCCTATGGATTACTGTTCACTCAGAGCACCAGCATTCCAGCAAACAAGATGATTATAGTTAATGGGCGCTCAGCCTCTTTAGATGTCTGTGTAGCTCTCAGGTAAGTAGATGTTTTGTCCTTCAGTAGTCTCAAATAAGAAAAAGTTGTGGTTTAGAATGCAAAGTTTGAAGAGAGGGATTAGTTGGAATGAGTGTTCATGGTATATTAATCACCTACATCTGATGAAAATGTGGTGAATTGCATATCCCGTCAACAGAGCCACAAACTATCCCGGTCACAAAGAGTTGTGAGTGTACATGACACTTCTTGCTTCTTCCGTGCTCAGCATCATAAAAGCTGTCAGTTGCATATCATGACACCCTGGTCAGCATCTCAGGACTTTTCCCAAACAACTGAAGGGCATATTTCTGCCATCTGCCTATGCCCGCTCCCAACACCTACCACCAGAGGGCAGCACTGAGACTGTCTTCAGGCCAGAGTTCTACGTGATGATTATACTAAGTGTTGGGTAAAGCTCCCTTTGGGGTAGAAGAATTCGAGTCTGTCTATGATGATGTGCCTTTCATAGTCACCATGTATTATTTTATTAGTTTCGTTACAAGTTATCACCAAATCCAAGGAACCTGAAGATTAAATTATGGCACATTCAGAAACTGCTGATAAAAATAACATAAACCAAGAGAGAAGGGTATGGGAATGAGAGGTCTGTGGATGAGCTGGCTGTGAGTGCGTTTTCTATTCACAAGAGCTCTGTTGCCTTGGTCATATAGCTCACATGTTTCTTGATCCTTTGTGACTGTAGCAACTGAAATCCTATTTAAAAGTCTTTTTAGAACTTTGAATACTGTCTCCGGATGTGAATTCCTTTGCTTTCTTGCCTTACTTGGGATGATTTGCTTGGCTTGAGCGTGTTCACAGAGAGTGAGCACCCAAGTGGAGCCTGCGTCTGAACAGCAGCTGTTACACGTGTTGCTTTGTTTCCCTGGGTCATCGGTGCAGCGAGCTGAGGCTGCTGACCCACCTCTGTCCTGGTCCCTCTACAGCTATTCCCCGGGTGTCAGAGTTACCGCCATCCTCTCCTAGGAAGCTACCATCATATAATGTGCCAAGATAACCAGGATCTTTTGAAATTATTTTTCTCAAAACTAAAGGGAAGGGTGCATACCCTTCCCACATAGCCTCCAGGAACACACTAAATTCTACGGAACCAGAACCTGAGACCAGTGAGGTTGCTGGATCCAAGACCACATTTGCAGCAATCAATCTGAATACAAAATGGAGGGAGGGAGTCCACTTACAATACACTGAAAAAATAGGAACATTTAGGAATGAGTGAAATCAACGAAGAATGAAACTTATACAATAAAAACTTCAGACCACCACAGAGGAACTGAAGACCCCAGTCAGTGAAGAGCAGCAATTTTCACAGCTTATAAGATTTCACATAGGAAGACAGAACACCCCAATGTCACAGATCAACCCAATGCCTACTGGATGGCCTCTGGCTTCTCCATAGAAATCGACAGACTGATATCAAAGCTCACATGGGAGGCAAGAGATTAGGCCTCACTAAAATGGGGTTGAAAAAGAATAAACTTGGAGGGTTTCAAACGTTCAAACTTCCCAATTTCAAAACCAGTGTCATTGTCAAAGTGTCGGTAATCAAGACATGTTTCTCAAATAAGACAGACAGGTCACAGAGATGGTATGGAGCCTGCTGTATCTGTAGTCAGGTGACTTTAGAAAGGCTGTCAAGACTATCAGTGAAGAATGAGTCATCTTGTCAGCAAATGGTGCGGAGGTGACTGGAGAGCAGATGTAAAACCATGGAACTGGACCCTCTGTCGTGCCTTATACCAAGATTAACTCAAAATAGAGCAAAGTTATAAGTGCAAAATGTATGTAAATATGAATATATAAAGCAGTCTCTTCTAGAAGACAATCTGTGTGAAGTTGGCAATGGAGTCCTAGATATGACAACAGTCCAAAGAATGAGGAACAAAGGGGAAAAAAGAAGTAACCTTTGTCCAAATTAAAAATGTTCGTACTTCAAGTGACACCATCAAGTGAAGAGACAGCCTGGAAAGTAAGAGAACACCTGCACATCACTCATCTTGTGTGGGATTTGCATCAAGATGGTGTAAAGCACGCTTGGAAATGGCATGGCTTGAAAATGGCTAAGGAGGATGCCATTTCTCCATGGAGATCCACAGGTGAGCTACCAATGCCAGGAGAGATTCCTGACATCCTTCATGTCAGAAAGGTGCAAATCACCACCACAGCATGATATCATCTCACATCCCCCAGATGGGGGCCAGCAAAGATGTATAGAAACTGTATCCTTTACTCACAGCCAAGGGGAAGGCAGAGATGGTACTGTGGCCTTAAAATCTGGGACTTCCTCAAATGGTTATACATGCAGTTACCAAATGTCCCAGCAGTTCTGATCCAGGCATCAATGGGAAGAAAGTATCTCATCAGAAAAAAATACTGCTATACCCACGCCCTCGTGCCTCGCTCAGCCCTCCTCAGAGAAGTGTCTTCTTGCAGTAGATGTTAACAGAGACCACAACTGGAGAACATGCAGAGAATGAGAGACTTTAGAGTACTCAGTCCTGAATGGATGGCTTCATTAAACTCCTCCCCTCAAAGCTCGGAGATCTGTGCAGAAGAGGAGGCAGAAAGACTGGAAGGGCCAGAGGTGAAGGACGGCTTCAAGGAAACGGTATCTTCCAGCCACAACAGGACGGATGCTCACGTGAACTCACAGAAACAGTGAGCACACACTACTCCGTGAATTCAACTTGAAAGTCCCAGCACCAAGGAGGGGAAGCGAACCCAAAGTGCCACCCTAACCAAGAGGTTGTGTCCAAATGACACCTGCTGGGAATGGGAAAATGTATTTTCTCCAGTGGGTGACACTGGGGGTATTAACCTCATTCAAGGCAGGCCCCAGGTCCAGGAGTAGTTGGCCAACACAAACAGACCTCATGTTTCTGTGTGCTTTTTTCTTTTGCTTTGGTTTCTTTTCATTTTGGTATTTTTTGTCTTAATGATGTTTTAATTTCATTTTTTGTTTTCTGTTAGAGGGAGAGAGAGAGAGAAACAGAAAGAGATAAAGAACGTGAAAGTGAGTAGGTAGGTAGGTGGGGAGTGTTTGGGAGGAGACGGGAGAAAGGAAAGAATGTAATACATGAAGAAATTAATAAATATATATAAAGAAAAACCATTGCAGCATTTAGAGCTCTATTATGTTCATCCACTGTTGAATGGATGTAATCATACAACTGAATGATATTTGGTGGGAAAATGAACTGAAATACTAATAGATGTCATGAACCCATGAAACCATTCTTCTGAATTTAAAAGATAATTATGGGCTGGAGACAGATGGCACAGTGGTTAAGAGAAAGCACCGTTCTTGCAAGGGTCCCAAGTTCAACTCCCAGAGTCCACATTAGGTGGCCCACAACTGCCTGTAACTCAAGCTTCTGGGTAAACCAACCTGCTGGCCTTTTTAGGCACCTGCACTTATGTGCACATCCCCCCACATGTACATACAGATAATTAAAATTTTTAAGGTAAATTTTAAAAATATAGTCAGAAAGATTATATGTTATATAATGCCATTTGTCTAGAATTTTTTCTTCGTGCATCCAGTGGTGAGTGCTTACTCAAGGTTGGTCAGAGCGGTCAGATGGGCTAGTCACAGCTAAAAGACAAGTGATTCTTTCTGATGTGTTAAAAACATTCCAGAATTACTATGGTGTCATTTTTATCTACCACTGAATTTGCTTAAAACAAAACCAAACCAAACCCTACTCGGCAGTAGATTTTAATGAGCTGCACCCAGTAGGAATTAGGTGTCAACACAACAGTTGTGAAAACTAACAAGCCTGTGAGACTCTAGCTGGCTAAGGCCCGGGCTGTCTCTTGCAGGGAAGAGTCTCACCTGAGCATGTGGGAAGTCTATTGAGCAGGCCCCTGAGTCATTTTGTATTTGCAAAGAGAATGCAGTTTAGAGACTGGAGACGTGGGAGAAGGCGGTCTGATTGACAGCTGCAGCCGCCCCGTCGGCTCCATCCTTCCCTTAAAGGGATTGTACGAGAATGTCTTAGCAGTCCCTGGATTAGCCCCTAAATCCTCCAGTGCTTGAGCAAACAAACTGTGGTATACTCAAGATGGAATTCCAGAAGGCAGCAAGAATGAATGGACTCTGAAAAGCATCCGATATGAATGCTGAATGAAGAGAGCTGGGAAAAGAAGCTCTCTTCATTTTGGGTCCATTTATGTCAAATTCAGAGTAGTCTAAATGAATTTGTAGCGAGCAAAGTAGTGACTACCCCACATGAGGCTGTGGGTACTAGTGAAAGAGAGGAGCACAGTACTGTGCGTGCTGGCAGTGTCTTAGCCTTTGATCTGGGGCTGTTTACACAGGGCACTCAGTCTGTGATAATCCAAGGAGCTGTAGTCTTACTTGTGCACATTTCTCCATGTTATACTCTGGAAATGAGTTAACAATAATAATGAAGAGCCCTGTTTATTTTCTGTATAGTTGATAGCTGACAGGTGCCCATAGAGACCAGTTGTGGGTGCCTCCTGAGCCCCTCCCCCCAGTCCTTCCATCCCAGCAGTTCCTCTTGGCATCAGGTTTGTGACTCTGTGGTCATTCTTTGCCTCAGGGGCCAGTCCACTCTGTCACCCACTGTCTTTACCAGATTGGCCTAAGGATGAAAGGTTTGGAGAAGGGCGGGCCCAAATGAGGTGTGGAATCTGCCAGTGTTACAGTTCTGGAGAGAAAGGTATTCCAGCTTGTGGGGAAGTCAGGCTATACCTGAAGGGCGGGGGTATGTGTGGGTGGGTGGGGGGAGTGGGGGTGGGGTGTGGGGTTTGGGGGGTGAGGGGTCTCCCCTCAGGATGTAGCAATCCTGCTCCTCTCCTAGAAGAGTCCTTACAGCTGAGCTTTGCTTCCCCTCTCCCCTTAAGGGGGCTCCCCAGCAGAGCTATGCTGCTTCTCCCTGGCCCCGAAATGCTGCTTCTTCAGCTTCTGTTAAAGGGGAACCTCTGCAGAAATGTAGCAATCTCCTCCGGCAAAAAGTTGTTACTTTTTTCTGCTCAGCCCCCCTAAGAGAACATCTCAACAAGGTTTTTTCCTCCTCAGCCTCCCTAAGGGAACGTCTGAACAAAGGTTCTTCTGTTCTGTGCTGGTGAAAGATCTTCACCCAGAACTCTTTCAAGAGATTTATTTGGGAAGGAGGAGTTCAGGAGAGCGGCTGCCTCTGCCAGGGTGAGAAAGAACAGCCCACAACTGAACTGGCAGAGGGGCATATATAGGGCTTCTCAGGGGCAGAGTTTCTCCATAGAGAAGATTTTCTGTCCAGGGATTGGTAAGTTTTCCAGCTCTGGGACTGGTTGGTTTCCTTGATCGCGGCAGAGTTGGGTCTGGTTTCAGGGCCAAACTGTGTTTCTTTTACTGATCCTTTTTTTTTTTTTTTGGCTCTAATTTCAGGGCCAGGGTGTGTTTTTTTGGTTGTGGTTTCAGGTCTAAAGTGTTTGTTTCACTGGCTCTGGGTTCAGGGTCAGGGTGCTAGAATTCATGCTCAGGGGTTGGTTGGTTTCATCCTCAGTGGGCCAAGGGCAGATTTGGCTTTGGTTTCAAGGCCAGAGTGTGTTTCTTTCACTGACTCTTTTTAACCTTTTGCTTCTACTTTTAAGGCCAGGGCATATTTCTTTCTCTGATTCTAGGACCAAAGTGTGTTTCTTTGACTCTGGTTTTAGGGTCAGGATGTGTTTCTTAGGTTCTGGGTTCAGGGTCAGGGTGGGTTTCTTTGGCTGGCCCTTTTTCCATACAGAATCGAGTCCATTTCCCTGTTGTGTACCCATATCTAAATCAGAAACTATCCTCTTTCCTATTTAACCATTGAAAAATAGAATTGTTGGGATTGGAGAGTTCAAGTGGAGTTCTTGCCTTGCAAGTACGAGGACCCGAGTTCCACTCCCAGGTGATGAGCCATGGTTGTGCATACTTACAACCCTGTAATGGGGAAGTAGAGACTCGCTCTGGCCAGCAGGCTTCCCCTATTTGGCAAGCTCCAGGCCAGTGAGAGACATTGTCTTGAAAAAAATAAAAAATAAAAAACCAAAAACCCAAGACTGAGGAACAATACCTAAGACCACACTCTGGCCTTCACAAGCATGTGCACACACATGAACATATACCCACATGCACACACATACAAAACACACACATAAAAGGAAAACAGAATGGTTAACTCCCACTTCTTTAACAGAGCCTGGGGAAACGGTTCTTTCACAGAACAGAAAACTGCATGCTTCCGTAACAGGTAGGCCATGACTTTACTCATGAAGACAAAATTTCTTCTCTGTTTGCTGAACTGTTTCCATAAAATGAAGCCTGTTTATCATACCAATCATTTGCAAACTGGGGTCCGTGTATGGATTGTCCAGAAAGCAAAAGCCATCGCAGGGTATGCTCCAGTGTGTTTGAGGAATAAAAACAGGGGCGTGAGTGACACTCGTCTCTTGCTCTGGTGGCAGCCTTCGGCAGACAGGGAGTGGGGTTTGAGCAGCGGGGAGGTGGCTCAGAAAGGAGGTATCCACCGTGTCCTGGCCTGATCACCTTGTTTTCCGGGGCATGCAGAAAGTTAGCATGGCCCGCTCCTTAGAAGCTGGCAAAATGCCCTCATTTTAAACGTATTCATCATCTCCTCTCGGAGCTAGAAAAAGCCACAGTCCTCCTTTGCTGTTTCCTAACTGCAGAGCAGGAAGTCGTTTCAAGCCTTTCTCTAACTACAAAAATTCCCAAGCTAATGTAAAAAAGAAATGTTTGATAAAGTTTGTGTCTACTGGGTAGTTAATCCAGGCACGTGAAAGCACTCTCAAGATGGAGAATGTGGCATGGAATTCGGCACACCTCTCCCCAAAGTGGGACTTCCAAGAGTGCCTAGAAGAAAGCCACTCTCTGGGTCCTCTCAGTGGAGCCTGATGGAAGCCTGTCTCAGGAGCCGTTCCCCAGTGGAGGAAACGCAGTGATAATGTCTTTCATGGAGTGAAGTAAGAATTTGAATTAAGAAAGGCAGTTAAAAGAATAGCTGAACTTTTGAACTTCCTGATCAGATAATTATTCTGGAAAGTCTGTCTAAGATGTGAGAAGCAAATGAATGGCACTCAGTGTTGACTTTCAGAGGAATACCTCCATTAAATAGAGTGCTGTCCCATCGGGGTTTGATTGTTGAGTGCAGGCGCAGTAAAAATTATAAGGCACCACTTCTGATTGGCGGGTGGAACGGGAATAGCTCTCTCAGGTAGAAAGTGTCTGTATTTGGAAAGTGAGTGTATCTCATTCTGCATAGATGTTTACATGGTTCATGCAAGGAATTTGTCTTTATCTTGACCATGGTGTCTCTCCTGAACCACATATCTGTACATCCAAGCATTTACTAGACAAATAACTTTGAATGTCCCACAAATACTATGATATTCAAAGTGAAACTCAGCCTTCTCTACAACCCAACTGACCCTTTGTCATGCTCTCCTGTATTTATTTTCTACCAATCAAGGTGGTTGGTCTTGTCACCTTGACAGAATCTAGTATCACCTGGGAGATGGGCCTCTGCATATGTCTGTGGGGGATTGTCTCAATTATGTTAAATTACATGGATAGACCCTTATTAATTTGCTGCAAGCCACAAAAAATATATGAAGTGGGATTTCAGCTGATTTTGACAAGCCAAGGGCCTTCCAGAGGTCAAGCTGAGGCTCAAGGAGTCCTGGGGATACTGGCTTTTGATTATCAGCCATTTCCTGCTATGAGTTTCTCGTGTGCTATTGTAGCTTTTCCATCATTCACTGGGCACAGTTTCCCCTCTACTAAAGGAATATTTAGATAACCTTCTGTGCAGTAACACAGCCAGGATCCCTAATTTCAGGCCTTTCTGTCATTATCATCATTAGCAGCATCCGGCCAGGACCATTCCTGGATGGATGAAAGTATCTTACCTGAGATTCCTCACAGATTCTCTAAGAGCAGACTTAAGCATCCACACTATCTGTTTGAGAAGGCCTGGTGGATGTGCTAATTAAGCTTAACTTTCTCCCTTTCCAAAGTCTTATCTCTAGTTTTAGATCTACCCTTAACAGTTAACTCAGAACTAAAGGGTTCCAACTTACAGGTACATCTAGCTGTGATGGAAGTTGCCTAGCCAAGTTGCCTAGCGACCGAGCACACTTGCCAGAAACAGCAGGAGCAGAGATAGCTTGGAGAGATAAGGGCCAAAGGGATTAAATGGAGTTTTATTTTCAGATGGGGAGACAGAGAAGAGAAAAGAGAATGGAAGAACTAGATGGGTAAGAACTGGAGAGGAATGAACTGAGATGGGGAACAACTAGATTGAAGGGCTAAAGGAGAGTACTAGAGGAATGAGATGGAAGATGAGCAAGAGCCAGATGGGGAAGAACAAGATGAGAGAGAAGGAGATGGGAGAGGAGCTGAGATGGGAAAAAACTAGATGGACGAGAACCTAGATGGGGCAGAACTAAGATGAGAGACTCAAGATAGAACTTAGAGGGGACAGCAGATAAAGGTAGAGAGAAATCAGACAAGAAAGGAGCTAGGCACGAGAGCAGAATAGAAGCTGTGTAGAGAGAGAACTGACACAGAAGAATGAAGTGTATGGACTAAGGAGTTTTGTGTACGTAGATTCATTTCCTATCGTCAAAGATTAAATTGTCAGCTGGCTGTAGATTCTTCCCGGACCCTGGGAGAGGACTATTAAGGGGCTGGACCCCAATAGTCCCCATTATTAATTATAGGTGAGACCAGTGAAATCCTGGTCTGTATAAAGTGGAAAAGTAGGGCTGGAGAGATGAGATGACCCAGCTGATAAGAATAGTTCCTGTTCTTCCAGGTAACCATGGTTTGGTTCCCAGTACCCACGTTAAGTTACTCCAATGCCCTCTTCTGGCCACCACAGGCACCTACACATACATGGCATACACATATACAGCTATATAAAAAAAAAATACTGTGGTAGGGCAGCAAGCTGAGTATAAGCATTCATTCATCCTCTGTTTCCTCATTATAGATGTGAAAGGATATGACGGGCTGCCTCAAGCTTCTCGGCCCTGACTTCCCAACCACGATGTGTTGAGCTGGGAACAAAAATAAACCCTTTCTCCCTTATACTGCTCTTGGCAGGGTAATTGATCACAGCAACTGGAAAAAAAATAAACAATGACTATGTGAGTTTCCAAAACCACCTATCTGGGTATCTCTCCTGGTTACCCTGTATGTTGGTTAGTGGGTATCTCTTCTCCAGGTCACCCTGTATGATGGTTAAGTTTTTTTCCTCTTGACACAAGCTAGAGTCATTTGAGAAGAAGGACTCTAAGTTGAGAAAATGCCTCCATAAGATCGGCTTATAGGGAAGTCTGTAGGGCATTTTCTTGATTAATGAATAGTGTGGGAGGGCCCAGCCGACTGTGAGTGGTGCCCCTGTGGGTGGTCCTGGATGATATAAGAAATCAAAGGGAGCAGGCCATGAGAAGCAAGCCAGTAAGCAGCAATTTTCCATGGGCTCTGATTCAGGCCTTGCCGCCAGGTTCCTGCCCTGACCTCCTTCAGCGATGGAGTTGACCTGAGGGCTTAAATCAAATAAGCCCTTTCCCTCTCAAGTTGCTTTGGACCATAGTTTTTGTTTGGTTGGTTGGTTTGGTTTAGTTTCTAGTTTTTTGAGACAGGGTTTCTCTGTGTTGCTCTGGCTGTGCTGGAACTCCCTCTGTAGATCAGGTTGGCCTTGAACTCACAGAGATCCACCTGCCTCTGCCTCCCAAGTGCTGGGATTAAAGGTGTTCGCCACCACCCCTTGGGCCATAGTCTTTAACACAGCAGTAGAGGAGTGACTCCTGCACCCAGTGCTCCTCGTGTGTGCAGACGCTCCTCCTAAGGGCAGCACGAGTGGTCTCATCAGAATGAGTGGAAGAGCTTGAGTTTGGTTTTTCTGCTCTAGTTGGTGTCCTTCAGATATGTCCCTGCCTCACTTTAGTTTTACCTCCAAGGTCACCCCAGTCCCTGTTCTGTGTGTTTGTTCTGTATTTACATATCTCATCTAGTATTAATTAACTTTAATTTAGCACACTGCACAGCATTTTTGACAGCTACATATGACATATTCCTGGCATATAAGTCCAACTTCAGTACCTCTGTATGGCTTTGTTTCCTGTGCACACAAAGGCTTCCTCTCTGTAGTAAACCTGTTCAGAGCAGTGGCTTTTTTCTCTGATGACAGTATCATCACTCACCAGTTTCTCTTACTACTTACAGCTCCACACCTACTAAATTTCTCTCAAGCTCTTGTTTTTAACCTGTTTTCTGTCTTGGTTTGTTTGCTCTGTATCTTAGTTTAATGGAGGTTGACTTTGGCTTATGGATTCTGGTATTCCAAGGTCAAAACTGTGCCCGTGTTTCTCTTACTGGCACAGTCCTGAGGCAGCCCAGAACAGCACATGGTCTGAAGACAGAGAACATACATGTGTCGTGGTCTCTCTCCGGTATTATTAAGCCAATGATGGGGTCTTCTCTCAGAAGATATCATGTAATTTTATTTAACTCACTGGGTCCTATTAGGGCTGCCCATATGCATATGAATGTGATATCACTAACTGGAGTGTGGGAAGCCTACTGGTGGTCACTCTCTATAGAACAGTGACTCTATTCCTTAGCAGCTATCAATTCCAGTTCTGCAGCTAGGGGTGGAGCCTCTGAAGCCCCTCCTCAGTCCATGCTGGAACTTCTAACTGGCTCCATCTCGCACAGATCTTGTGTAGGTTACCACAGCTGCTGTGGGTTCGTGTGTATACCACCATGTTATGTCCAGAGGACAGTGTTTCTCAGCACTCCTCCTCATCTTCCAGCTCTTACATTCTTCATCGCTCTGTGCAATGTTCCCCAAGCCTTGGGGGGGGGGGGGCGGGGTGCAGTGATATTGAGGTCCTCTCTATGGCTGTTCACTGGGAGCAGCACAGGTCTGTGGCTGTTCACTGGGAGCGGCACAGGTCTGTGGCTGTTCACTTAGACACTTTGCAGGCAGTTTGATGATCAATGTCACTTAATGCTGATCTCTTCTCAAAGGCCTCACTTCTTAGCATCATAATTTGATGGCATTTCTGGCCTCACAATGGAGGCTTAACTTCAACAGGATGTTGTTACAAAACACCACTGAGTGGGTAGCTCACAAACAACAGAAATGTATTTTTCTCAAGTCTAAACCATGAGAATTCCAAGATCAAAGCACCTGCGTGCGTGTGTGTGTGTGTGTGTGTGTGT